GGGAAAGAGAGGTAGAAAGAAAAGAAAGAGAAAGAGATCGAAAGAGAGTAAGAGCGAAGCGGGCGCCGTTACGATAAAAGAAGTTTTTCGGAGAGCGTATTCAGAAGCGTTCAATGGTCGAAGCAGCTATGCGCCACGCCGTCGTAGGGCTGTTAGCTAGCTAGTTCTGACTACGGGAGGTCTCGGGCCGCAGTTACGACCTCGAGAACGAGCGAGTTCGCCTCGCGAAGATGACCATAATAGTCTTTTTGATCGACACGTCGGCCTCCATGAATCAGAGGGCATATTTGGGCGGGCGACCCACGCTTTTGGATGTAGCCAAGAGCGCCGTGGAGACTTTCGTAAAGGTACGCTAGTCACACAGCTTTTCCGGCCGGGAGATTCGATTGTGGTTACTGTCGAGTCGTCACCTCGCACCATCGTCAGAAACAGCAACGTGTATAACGGCCTCTGTGCTTTTACCTCCCTCGATTGGCCTGTTAATCATCGGATCGCTTTTTTTTTTTAGGTAAGACAAAGATCACCAGAGAGCCGTGGAGATCGTTACATGCTCCTGACCTTCGAAGATCCGCCCCAGAATATCAAGGTACGTTTTCTTCGTATTTCACTGACCTCAACATGTCGCATCTTTCGCACTTTTGTCTTTTTCTCTTTCTCTCCTGTCTAAGATCCCTGTATCTTTCTCTTTCTCGCACGTACACACATACACAACGCGCATACACACATACACACTGTCTCTTTCTATGTAGTTGCCATGTATAGTGTCCCATACATAAGTCTCTTTTCTACGTTTCATATCTTTTTCGTTACGCGTATTTACAATTTTCCCTTTCAAACGTATTTACGATTCGTTGTCTCATGCGACTAGTTGATGTATTCGTGTCGATTGCTATGTTATTTGTCCCCTTCGGTTGCTGAATAATTTATATTCAGCAAGAAGGTAGCAAAGTGCAGCGTGCACTTGCCGTATCTTCCGTCCTCCGTTACGGAAGAGCAGCATTGTGGGTAGTGACACGCGGGTGGGGGCTTACCCACGAGGGTCTTTCTCTGTGGATAGGTGCGCGCCAAATTTACGAAATTGATATAAACGACTTCGTCAATAAGACAAATTTTTTTGCTTCTCTTTGAAAATTTTGCTATCCGCCTTCGTTAATTTTCTTCCAGAACAGTTTCCTCTGTTAATTTTTCATTCATTCTTTTTTTTTTTTTTTTTTTTTTTTTTCAAATAACACTATAATATAATTTCATACTATTCAATAATGTATTTGACTTAAGTGTATTACAAATTGAAGTTAAGACCTTTCTTATTTCAGGGTTGAATATGGTGATCAGGCTCATGGCTCAAGAACGGGCCAAGGTTGAAAATTGTTATAAGGATTAAGGTACTGTCGCCAGTTTGATAATGGTAGAGAAGTGAAAAGAGTGTTCCATGTGACAGTGGATCCTGAGACAATAAAGAATTATCATGAATTGGATGGAAGTTGATGAGAACTGGTATTTCTGGCACAATAATAAATCAAGGAAATCACCAATGCAATGGACAATGAATATTGTAACTTTTTTATGGATATTCTTTATTGTCTTAATGTCTAATGTTGCATGGAGGTTTTTCTCACTCCTCCATTATTGCAGAACTTTAGTGACAGAACTCCGAACCTCGTAACAGAATGCAATTTTGCATCTCTCTTGAACCATTAGCCTTATCATCAGTTTTGACCTAAAAATAAAATATTCCAAATTGTAAAAATCAAAATATTTTTAATATGGACATTTCAATAATAAAGCATTAACTGAGTCTTTGTTACCATTGTTACGGATGGTCATATTGAAAAAAATAGAGTGTATTTAACATTTGCATTAATTTTCTATATGAAAAATGTGAAAACATGAAGTAATTTGTTATATTTTCTATTCATAGTAATGAACATATTTTAATAAATCCTTCTATTACCAATGTCTAAAGTCCTTGCAAGAAATCGTATTTTATATATTTATGTCCCTTTCTCTTAATATGTAATTAAAAATATACTTTTTTCTTCTAGGCTGGATGGAAAGAAAATTTAGCAACTTTTATGAATGAGCTTAAAAATTTACAATGTGTTGGACTGACAACATTAGGTGCTGCTTTGAAACATGCTTTGGATGTTTTGAATATAAATCGTATGCAGACTGGAATAGACACATATGGACAAGGAAGATGTCCCTTTTATTTAGAGCCATCAGTAATAGTTGTGATTACAGATGGAGGAAAATATACAACTAATAGTGGAGTTAATCAGGACGTAAGTTTAACTATATATATATAAGTAATATTCATCTCAATTTTATTATAGAACAGCTTATTAAAAAACAAAAACTTCTGTTACAGTTCACGTTGCCAATGCATTCTCCTATACCTGGATCCGAGTTAACAAAAGAGCCATTTAGATGGGACCAAAGATTATTTTCTTTGGTACTGCGATTATCAGGAACTCCGGCTGTTGAGAGAGATACAGGTTTAGTGGCGAGTGATTCATCCCCTATAGATGCTATGTGCGAAGTTACTGGAGGCATGAAAAATAGTTTTATAATATAACGTATTGTAAAAGTAAACAAATATTAATTCGAATAATTGATTATTCATTGTAGGTCGTTCATATTGCATAACATCTTTTAGAATGATGATGCAATGTATAGATTCTTTGGTACAAAAGGTTCAATCTGGCGTGGTGATAAATTTCGAAAAAATTGGACCGGATCCTCCGCCCCTAAATAATGAAACTCAGCATGCGGACGATGATGAAAACGAGGATGAGACTAATACAACGAATGGAACGCGAACATATCCTCCTAATCTAACAGTACCAGGAAATACAGCATGGCATTCTTGTAGAAGACTGATTTATGTTCCAAGATCTGCACAGAAAGGTTTTGCAGTTGGATTTTGGCCGATTCCTGAAAGTTTCTGGCCTGATCTTAGTGCTAGTTCTTTACCACCTAGATCAGCGCATCCAAATGTAAAATTTACTTGTACCAGTCAAGAACCTATGGTGATAGAAAATCTCCCATTTGATAAATACGAATTGGAACCGAGTCCTTTGACACAATACATATTAGCCAGAAAACAACCAACAA